GCATGTATCATTTTGAATTAGGGTTTTTGTTTCTTTCAGATATATACCCAGGAGTGGATTTGCTGGGTCATATGGCAGTTCTGTTTTTAGCTTTTTGAGAAGCCCACATACTGTTTTCCATAGTGGCTGCACCAATTTGCATTCCTACCAACAGTGTACAAGAGCTCGCTTTTGTCTACTTCCTCTCCAACATTTGTTATTTGTGTTCTTTTTGATAATAGTCATTCTGACGTGATATCTCATTGTGGTTTTTATTTGTGTTTTCCTGATCATTAGCAATGTTGAGCATATTTCTCTGTGCTTGTTGGCCATCTGCATGTCTTCTTTGGAAAAATTTTGACTGTTCAGCTCTTCTGTTTTATAATCAATTTTTTTATGTTGTATGAGATGTTTATATATGTTGGATATTAACCCCTTACTGCTCATATCATTTGCAAATATTTTCTCCCATATTGTACGTTGTCTTTTCATTTCATTGAACTGTATAAAAGCTTTCAACTTTAATTAGGTCCCATTTGTTTATTTCTGTTTTTATTTCCTTTGCTTTAGGAGAGATTGAAAACAGATTGAAAAAAACTATTGGTATGATTTATGTCAGAATATTCTGTTTTCTTCTAGGATGTTACGGTTTCTGGTCTTACATTTAGGTCTTTAATCCATTTTGAGTTTATTTTTGTATGTATTGTTAGAGAATGTTCTAACTTCATTCTTTTATATGTGTGTGTCCAGTTTTCCCAGTACCACTTACTGAAAAGACTGTCTTTTCTTCATTGTAGATATCCTGGGTTCCTTTGTTGTAGATTAATTGATCATAAGTGTATGGGTTAATTTCTGGGCAGGAGCTCTTAAAATTATTTCTGCTTATTAATATGATCAACTGTTTGGGCATACTAACAAATTCTGAACTTTGCACAGCTAAACATTAAAAATAGGGACTTCCTGGCGGTCCAGTGGTTAAGACTCTACTTTTCCAATGCGGGGGCTATGGGTTTGATCCCTGGTTGGTATCCCACATGCCAAGTGGGATGGCCAGATTAAAAAAAAATTCTCTAACATGCCAAGGTTATACAAATATTACGCATTTTTTAAAAATTAAAAATAGATTGAACCAAGGATTGTGTAGCTCCTTTATCATAATGAAAATATCCTTTTCCCTCTTCCAGGCTCATGACCCTGGTTAGCTATTACGTTATAGCTTCTTTCCTTTTGCCAGACTCTTGTCAAATGCCTTCCTTTAACTTTGCCTAATGATGGGAAGTCAAATTGTTTTGGCTTCCCAGCAGGTTCTCTTTAACCTTTACTTAACTCAGAGTTTAACTCAGGACTTTCCATACTAGATAACTTTTATGACTATGCACCTAAAAGAAACTTGGCATCTTTGACCATTTTTTTTCTTGGTTCAGAGTCAAAATGGGCACAGGAGCTAGGAAATGTACCCCAGGAAGAGAAGTGAGTTTTATTAAAAAAAACAACCTACTAAATTTGAGCAATTTCTGGGAAGGATAAAATATTTTTCTTTTACGTGAACTTAAGGGCTGTAAGATTATGAGAGGTTGGGGACCTGCAATTATGTTGCGGTTAACGATAGATTTCAGTAAATGTTCTGAACATAAAAACATAATGAGGAAAAGTATAAATTCTGATTCAATTCATTCTTAAGCCATGATAAATAATTTTGGGTGGAGGATAAATAAAGTAAAATTTAAACTACTTTCCTTCAGAGGTAGATCACTGCTCCCCTCCCCAAGATCATTTGTCTTGGTGATAACTGATCAGTAAATTCAATCCATTGATGTTCTTTCATAAACTGTCTTGAATTTTGTGTTGGAGAGGAAGATTCAGTTAAGAATTTTGTTCCTTGAACAAGGTAAATGAGGATTTTGCCACATCACCTTTTGCTGTTGAGAAACCAATTTCAGGAAAAGTCCATGAATTGGTAAGATTAGTTGTAGGCAGTCATCTGTGCTTTTCTGTTTAAACATTTTTTAGTTTTGGCTGTGTTGGGTCCTCATTGCTAGGCACAGGCTTTCTCTCGTTGCAGAGCACCAGCTCTGGAAAGCAAGGGCTTCAGTTCATTGTGGTGCATGAGCTTAGTTGCTGAGGCCAGTCTTAATTCCTGGACCAGGGATTGAACCTGTACCCTCTGTGTCGTCAGGTGGACTCTTATCCACTGCGCCACCAGGGAAGTCCTTTTTTTTTTTTTTTTAAAATCTTGTAGCAGCAGGAAATGGGGGCATTAAGCACATTTTAGTTATCACAGAGCCTGGCAGCCCTTGTAGGAAGGTTTTCACAGCAGCTCTGAGGGGAAGCTGGTTCCCTCAGTAGAAGTAACAGCAGAAGAGAATGTCTCGTGTTCTGTGTGCAGGTTCCAGGGTGTGATGGGCCCATGACAGGAAGGCAGCCCTGGCTGCTCTGGGCTTGGGAGGGCTCTGCCGGGCAGCGTGGGCATTCAGCTTTGTTCCTCATCACCTGCCGCCTGGTATCTTCTGATACACGTTCTTGGAAGTGAACAGGGCTGAACTCTTGGGTAGCCATTAGTGAACACAGATTTGTATGGAGCTGTAGGGTCTCAAGCTGCCTCCAGCCCCACTCCAGCCCCCTGGGGAGTGAGGAAAGCCACCTCCCCTTGGGAGCCCTCCTTGAGAACACAAACTTTCTGATGAAAGCCACTTTGCAGTTAACTGGTTATCAGCCAGTGTTTTCTGGGCCTTCCCATTTCTCTTGGCAGCCTAGAGGCCTGACTGCCCTAGTTCCCTGCTGCAGCTGGTTTAGCTTTGAACAGACATCAGTGTGAGGCACTTGCACACGTAGAAGAGTAGGAGCGGGGAGCTGATCCCTGGGTTCTCATTCCGCCCACTCCCTCCATAAACCCTGACTCACACTGTCAGCAAGCAGCTGCCTCAGGTCTTTTGGCTTCCTCTTGCTATTTGCCAACATGGGGCCCTTGGGGACAGAGCCCAGGCTGCAGGCCCGGTAACTGCTGCTGAGATGTATTTTTAAACCTACCCAGAGGGTGTTACAGGGAGTTCAACTGAAGCATCTCCTGTTTCCCCCTTGGAGCCCTAGGGAGACTAATTCTCCGGCTTCCTAACTCCTTCCTCCCCTCCCACCAAGCGCTTTCAGTCCCTGGTTTGGGTTTATTGACAACCATATGTATAATTCATGCAAGACAGGTTACAGTGGAGCGTGTTGCCTCTGCTAGTCAAGCATGGCTCAGTAACACTGCTCCAGATTTTGGCGGGGAAGTAGGTTTTTACTGGTGTTTGGGCCCAATGTCTTCCTGTCCGGAAGCCTTCCCCTTCCCTTGGTGAGGTTGTTTTGGAAGTGCCGTTAGGGAAAAACCACCTTCCCCCTGTCCAGTTGGATAAATGAGTTTCAGGCAAGAGCAGCCTGTTGTGTGAAGCAGAAGTCCTCGGAGGAAGGGGGGAATGTATGCTGAAGAGAGTTTGCCCTGGGCAGCTGGTGGGCAGTGGGCGACCGGGCTGAGCCAGGGTACTTCGTGCTGGCGGTGATGCCGCAGTGTCTTGGTCTTTGTAGAACTGGGGTGCTTTGGGAAGAGAGTGTATAGAAAAGAGTGTCATGCGTTTTCTTTTCTTTCTTTTAAGTTGGGAGTATAAATTGCTTTACAATGTTGTGTTTCGTTTCTACTGTACCACAAAGTGAATCAACTATATGTATACATTTATCGCCTGCTTCTTGAGCTTCTGTCTGCCCATCCCACCTGTCTACCTCATCACAGAGCATCGAGCTGAGCTCATTGCAGTGACACGCCCAGCTTCTCACTCGCTATCTGTTTTACACGTGGGCTCCCCTGGTGGCTCAGAAGTTAAAGAATCCCCCTGCAGTATAGGAGACCCAGGTTCAATCCCTGGGTTGGGAAGATCCCTTGGAGAAGGGAATGGCGACCCACTTCAGTATTCTTGCGTGGGAAATCCCATGGACAGAGGAGCCTGGCAGGCTACAGTTCACGGGGTTGCAAAGAGTTGATAGAGACTTATACACACACTATATATAGGTCAGCGCTACTCTCCCAGTTCGTGCCCCCCTCTGCTTCTCTCTCTGCCCTGTGTCCACATATCTGCTTTCTAAGTTAGTGGATTTTATTCCTGCCCTGAAAATAGGTTCATCTGTACCATTTTTCTAGATTCCATATATATGCACTTGTTTTTCATAAAATGTCTTCGTTTTTCTATTCCATTGTTTCCATATACCCTGAAGTGATGGGAGTGCTGATGCCAGAGAGCTGAGAAGTGGAAGGTTCACTGTCTGCATTTATTGGCCTTTTCTTCTGGGTTGTCTATGAAGTTAAATAGAGGAAGGAGATAAATCTTAGCATGAGCTATTGGGAGCACAGAGAAGGAGGTGGCAGGACCGGAAAAATAGAAGTCAGCTCCACAATGAACAGGTTGGGGGAGGAAGGTGGAGACAGCAGGCACAGGAGAGACCTTCCCAGTGGTCCTGGGTGGCTGCAGTGGGATGGGGGTGGGGAGTGAGGGGGAGGGGGGTGCGGCCAGGGAGGGAAGCCGAGGCAGGTCCAGGAAGGTTTACATCCCGTGCTAGAAAGTTGGGCTTTATCTGGAAGATTTTAAAGCCAGGGAGTAAAAGGGTGAGATTTTGGGTTTAGAGAGTTGATTTTGGCTCTCTAGGATGGGAGAGTGGCAGGTGGTGGCAATCATGCAGGAAGCCCAGGTTATAGGTTATAACATGACCCACATGAGAAATGGCCAGGGTCTGAACTGAGGAGGAAAGAGGAACTGATGAGCTGCAGGGTGGAGGTAGGGAGCACGCACTTGGTGAATGACTGGCCCTTGACGGCGTGTAACTTGAGTGAGACGTGAATGGCCATGTCTTTGTCAGAAGTGGGAAACAGGAGGCAGAGCAGTAAAGGCAGAGAGGGGAGGATGACTTCTCAGCCAGCGCCTATAGAATTGGGTTGAATGGAAACCATGAGCCTTATTCTGAGGCAAGGGCTCCCAAGGCGTCTGCTTATTTTCCTACAGGAGAGACTTTGGGCCTCACAAAGTGTTACCAGTGAAGATCCACCAGCCCAACCCGTTCGTCCCAAGTGAAGAGAACATGGATCTGCAGACCACGTATAAACAAGATTACAACCCTTACCCCCTCTGTCGAGTGGATCCCATCAAACCTCGGGACAGTAAATACCCTTGTGGGGACAAGATGGAGAGTCTGCCTACTTACAAAGGTGGGAGAAGGCTGGAGGGGCAGGGCTGGGGGGGACGGGCTGAGCTTAGGTGCTGACTGGGAAGTGGGTTTTATGCACACACGCCCTCAGTGCACAGGCTGGGAAGTCTTTTCTGCGGTCAGATCTGGCCTTTAGCCTGTTTCTGTGCAGCTAGAGAGGTAAGGATGGTTTTTAAATTTTTGAATGATTAAAAAAAATGAGAAAGACTATTACATTAGGGTATGTGAATATTAAATTCAGAGTTCAGTGTCATAAGTATGTTTTGTTGGAACACGGCCACTTCCATTGGTTTTCTATATTATCTATGGCTAAGTTTGTGCTTCGGCAGCAAAGTTGAATAGCTGTGGCAGAAATCATATGGCATGCAAGGCCTAAGACATTTAATATCTGGCCTCCTACAAAAAATATTTGCCACTGCCTGCCTCAGCTTGCCATTCCCGTCCTGTATTGGGCAAGCAGTTCAAGTTTAAGCCAAGTTGGGTTTCACCACTGATTGATTCATTCATTTGTTAAAAAATTATGGAAATGTAACATACAGAAAAATGTGCAAATATATAATGATAGAGACTGGTGAATTTTTAAAATTGTATTATTTTTTAATGGGCTGAGTACCTCCCCCTGAATAACTATTTTGCTATATACATCAATCCTTTTAATCTTTAAAAAATTTTTAAAATTTATATTGGAGTGCAGTTGATTAACAATGCTGTGTTAGTTTCAGGTGTACAGAAAAGTGATTCAGTTATACGTATACATATATCTCTTCTTTTTCAATTTTTTTTTCATTTAGGTTATTATAAAATATTGAGTAGAGTTCCTTGTGCTGTATTTGCTATAGGTAAAATAGATAACCAGCGAAGACCTGTTCATCTTTAGTTCCCATTGGACCACAAAAATTTTAGGAAAGTTCTAGAGGAAAGTGAGAATCCCTTGGTGAGTTGCCAGTTAGCTGACAGTACAAAGGCAAATTTAGACCAATGAATTTTGAGTGAATAGGCATGGGAACAGGATGCAGATTGAAATGTATAGCATCGATACTCCCTTCTAGTTACCGTCCCCACCCAGGAGAGAACCACTGTGCTGACTCTTGACTTCGTAAATTAGTTTTGCTAGTTTTGAACTTCATTTTATTGAGATGGGTTCCTTCTTTATTGGGCATTTTCTACATTCCAGGCATGGTATTAGGACCCGTGAAGGAAGCATAATGACCTGCCCTTGAGTTTGTAGTCTGGTAGGAGAGACAGGATATCGAGTGGTGTGTGTAGCAGGTAGCAGTCACTCTACTCTATGGAGCATGAGCCACAGGACTGACACCATGGGGATGGAGGCCAGGTTTGTGATCAGTAACTGTGCTGCTTATGATGTACATGGTTGTCCTAAGAAAATGTGCAAAACTGTCCCTGTCACATGTCTGTGGATATCTGCATGCCTGTGGTGATAGTGGCTTTTTAAAATTATTATTATTTAAAAAATCTGGCTGCATCATGCAGCACATGGGATCTTAGTTCCCTGTGAAAGTGAAAGTTGCTCAGTTGCGTCCGACTCTGCAACCCCATGGAGTATACAGTCTATGGAATTCTCCAGGCCAGAATACTGGAGTGGTTAGTCTTTCCCTTCTCCAGGGGATCTTCCCAACTCAGGGATTGAACCCTTGTCTCTACCAGCTGATCCACAAGGCAAGCCTAAGAATACTGGAGTGGGTAGCCTATCCCTTCTCCAGTGAATCTTCCCAACCCGGAATCAAACTGGGGTCTGCTGCATTGCAGGTGGATTCTTTTCCAGCTGAGCTACCAGAGAAGCCTCTTAATTCCCTAACCAGTGATCTCACCCGCAGCCCTGCATTGGAAGCATGGAGTCTTAGCCATTGGACCACCAGGGAAGTCCCCAGTAGTGGCTCTTATTTAGTCAAGCTTAACACTTGGCCATGAGGAGGTGGAGAGGCTTGAGGGGATGTAGGAATGTTCCTGAAGCCCTTCCAGGAGCTATTAATCTGTCATTCTGGAAGATTCTAAATGTGGCTGAGTATCTCTGCTTTTGCTTTTCTTTTGTCCTTTTACTTTCTTTAGTGTCACCTATTACCTTTTACTCTTCCATAGCCACCTTCTGCCAAGCCACATTCTGGACATTGTCAAATCCCCAAACAGCTCCACCTTCGTGCCCTCCACCATCTGGTCCTTTTGGCTCTCGTATTTACTCCCACCGTGACAGTCCTTGGTCTCACTGGGACCTCCAGCCCACTGATGCCTCAACCTTCCTTCTCATCATCATCAGCCTCTCCTGTGTCTGTTCCCATGCAGCTTATTCCACGTTGTATCACTGCAGCCCCTCCCTTAACTCCCTCTTCCTTCTGTCCTTCTGTTGCATCCTCCTGGTAACAACCAAACCCTGCCTTCTCCATGTCTACCACTGGACGCCTAGCTGCACATCTCTCCAACCTTATCAGCTCATCTCTGTTGGCCACAGAAAGCAAGCAGAGAGATCTTTTGAAAACAGAAATCTCACCTGACCTCGTCTTTACCTAAAACTCCTCAAATAATCACTCCAGTTCTTAGGATAAACTCCCCCACCTTTGCCCACTCTGCTGCCTTGAAGACTGGGGCTCCTCCTCCCTGGGCCCCTCTGCTCTGGCCACAGGAGCTTCTTTCAGTTTTGCTTTGCTCCACTCTTCTGTCTCAGGGCAGGTTGCACTGCCCTTCCCTCTTTAGAGAGCCATCCTCCCGTCCCCTCTCCAGTGCTCATCCTTCTGCGAAGGGCAGAAGCATCACACCTTCCGAAGGTGCCCCAGACCTTCCCCCGTGCCAGACCAGACACGTCCTGTAAGGTGCTTGAAGGCTGACTTGTCCTGCCTTGTTTCATAATTCATTTTGTAGTTTAGTTTACCATTTGTCTCTTTGCTAGATCGCAGGCTACAGGAGAGCAAGGGTCTGCCTTTTTCTTTGTCTGCTACCCTCAGCAAGGTAGGCACCACAGCAGATGGTGTGCTAAGGAGTCAGCCCAACGAGGCGCATTATGGGGTGGCACTTGGCCTCTAGGGCTCCTCTGTTTCCCTTTTCATCCAGTGTTTATAGGAGGGCAACAAATGGACACCGAGCCCGCAGAAAAGAACAGAGCCCAAATGAGCACTTCCCTTTGACGGGTGAGGAGGCAGGGCTTCTGGTTGGGCTCATCCGACTGCATCCTCTCCTCTCTACATCCTCCCTGTGGGCTTCCTGGGTTTATAAGTCTTGACAGAGTTAGAGGTGCCTCAGAGCAGCTGTCTGCCCAGCTCAACTTCCCCTCTCCACCTTGCCCTGGGTGCAAGGAGAGATCTAGGGCTGAGAAATACTCCCTGCTTTCCTTGGTGGTTGGCAAGGATGGAGTTTCCCGGTGGTATTATTTAAAAGGACATCTCCCTCTACTCCCCACAAAATAATCCCCCCCCCTCAAAATCAACACACAGAAAAAAAAAAAATCTAATACTTAAGCTTTAATCTCTGCAGTATTCTTCCTCTTCTCCAAACATTTACATCTCAAATTGCTCTCTGCAAACCAGAGAATAGTATTCTGCCGTTAAAACTGAGTTGTGGCTGACTTTGCCTTACTGAGAAAGTTAATATTGAGAAAACCCTATTTTCTTTCTTTTTTTTTTTTTAAAGCAGTTAATAGGCACCAGAAATTTGTCTGCTGACACAGACCTAAAATTTTTTAAAAATTGAAGTATGGTTGATTTACACTGTTGTATTAGTTTCTGCTATAGAGCAAAGTGAATCAGTTATATATCAACTCCACTCTTTTTTAGATTCTTTTCCCATATAAGCCATTACCGAGTATTGAGTAGAGTTCCCTTTGCTATAAAGTAGGTCCTTCTTTGTTACCTGTTTTATATATAATAGTGTGTATATGTCAATCCCAATATTCCAGTTTACTCTTTCCCTCTGTCCCCCTGGTAACAAAGTTTATTTTCTACATCTATAATTCTATTTCTATTTTATAGATAAGTTTATTTGTATGCTTTTCTTTAGATTCCACATATAAACGATATCATATGGTCTCTGTCTGACTTTCTTCACTTAGTATGATCATCTCTAGGTCCATCCATGTTGCTGCAATTGGCATTATTTTGTCCTTTTTTATGGCTGAGTAATATTCCACTGTATATATGTACCACATCTTCTTTATCCACTTTTCTGCTGATGCACATTTAGGTTGCTTCCATGACCTGGTTATTGTAAATAGTGGTGCGATGAAACATTGAGGGTGCATGTATCTTTTTAAATTGTTTTTTTCCCCCAGATATATGCCCAGTAGTGGGATTGCTGGATCAAATGGTAGCTCTGTTTTTAGTTTAGTTTTTTTTTTTTTCCCAAAAGATTTGTTCTCATTCTTTTAAAAAAAATAATTTTATTTATTTATTTTTGACTGTTCTGGGTCTTCATTGCTATGCAGGCTTTTCTCTAGTTGCAGCAAGTAGGGGCTGCTCTCCAGTTGAGTGTGTGGGCTTCTAAATGCGGTGGCTTCTCTTGTTGTGGAGCATGGGCTTTGGGCCCTTGGGCTTCAGTAGTTGCGGCTCTCAGGCTCTAGAGTACAGGCTCAGTGATTTTGGCACACAGTCTTAATTGCTCAGAGGCATGTGGGATCTTCCCAGATCTGGGATCGAACCCATGTCCATTGCATTGGCTGGCAGATTCTTTACCACTGAGCCACCAGGGAAGCCCTGTTTTTAGTTTTGTAAGGAACCTCCATACTGTTCTTCATAGTGGCTGCCCCAATTTACATTCCTACCCAAAGTGTACTTACACAGACTTAATGAAGTAGCAACAGGACTGTTCTGAACCATGCATGCTCAGACCTTTTGGGTTTATTCTGGCTACATATGTACCTGAGGGTAGGTTTCATAATTCTCCTCTGAAATTCAGGTTTAAAATCAATCCGATTTGTAGTCAAAGAAAACACCTGTCATTCAGTGTCAGTTGTAACCTATGTGTAACCTAGTTTTTTGAACAATACTAACCATATCATAT